TTGTCAATGAAATATGGTAGTTTAGCTCTTTAGCTGACACAAGGTCGGTAGACGACGTTGTTGCTGTCGTTGTTTGCTGTTGCTATTCGGATGGCTATTCGGATGGCCTGACTGACATTTTGGCGACACCGTCTTTTTCGGAGCCTAGACGTACACTGCTTTCGATATTTGTACGAGTCGGTAATATGATCAATGTCTAAGCACCGCCCTTGGTTTAAGTTAGAAAAGCAAGCGCATGTACGCAAGGTGCCAAGTCTCGTGTTACAGTAACGCATTCGTCTTACGGTTCATTGCTATGATTACGACGTACCAGTCACTAGGATCGGTTCATTTAACATGGTCAAGCCCTAAGATAAAAAAAAACAAAACCTCGCACCTTAATAAGATCGTTTTTAAGTTGCCCTTTATATCAAACGAAGTTAGTTGCGCTATCAAGAGGTGCCTAAAACGAAGTGGTCTTGAAAATGTGGTAACAGTAATCGAACTCCCACCTTCAACCCTGCGCCGTCAATTGATCCGCAACCGTCTTTATAATCGGCTGTTTCACTCAGAGCATTGCGAAATCTGCCCAGCGGGATGGAGGGAGACTGCATGGGTTACGGTACAATATGCTCAATAACATGCAATGCATGTGGTGAGGAATATATTCAGGGAACGGGTAGACTTTATCTGCGCATAAAAGAACATCTAGACGGAAAGGCTAATACCGGTAGAAGCAAACCTCTAGGTTTACATAGGGTGCAAGAGCACAACAATAATGATTTTGATGGAACGATCACGACCCTGGCGCAAGAACCCAAAACATCAACGCGCAAAACCCTTGAAACGTTTTGGATCAAAGCTAAAAATTCAAAAATGAATTGTAAAGATGAATGCGCCACTGTAACACGAGACTTGGCACCTACACGCGTTTGATTTTCTAACTTGGCCTAAGGGCGGTGCTTACGCATCGATCAATCTTACCGGCTCATACAAACCCGAAAACATTGCCCGTCCAAGCTCCAAAGAAGTCGGTGTCGCCGAAATGTCAGTCAGGCTGTCCGTATAGCGATCTATCAACAACAACAAACAACGACAACACCAACGCCGTCTGCCAGCATCGTGCCCGCTAAAGAGCTAAGTTACCATATTTGATTGGCAATCACCTTTGATGCCGAGCTTAATAAAAAGTCGATCTCTAAAACTGATTATGTTGACGTCTCATCAGCAAATGTAGGTGTTGAATTGTATAGTCATAGATCTTTGTGCATAATCTTCATCAACAGTTGAATTTGATACTCTTTCAATCCAAATTATTTATGCAGATCTTTTGTTAATTGCAGTGGAAGAGTTTGGCCATTGATGACACACTCCACAAGGTGACGAAAGAGCGCTCGCTCTTCATGATGTAATCTGGTTCGTAGAAGGTTACTACAATGACAGCGGTAAGAAACGAAGAAAAGCAAAATCTCAGACATGCTCCCACATAAAGCACTACTTCAGGAGAAGGTTGTGTTAAATTGAAGTTTAGCCAAGATCGAGGTAATTCGTTTTAGCTTGGATTCATCATATGCCCAAGAACTCTAATACCATTTACTATCAGAAATGCGAACATGGATAGTACACGCCCACATCTCACATGGGAGTCAAATTCGTCCATTTACGTACGGTACTTGGATGAAAAGCACTCTTCACTATAGGAAGTGAATGAGGTAATGTGTGAGAATACGCTGTTTTCTCGTATAGAGGTTTCTTACATTCTCGGCGTTAATTTGTATGCTAATGATTAGTTCTATAATTTTGCTGTGCGTAATCGTAGTGCATCATATAAGTGATTACATGCTTATGAGACAGAAACCCTTTGGGTCCACTTAACCCTATTTTGGGTCACACAACGCGGCGTCACATCTTATTCATCCAGTAGGGTAAATCTGAGTTTAAGTCTTGCCTTAGTCACTCACATTCCAGTTACATTTCACCGAGGAAGGGGTATTTGTTATGTCTTGGTTTGACAAGAACAATTTATTCGAAGAGCTCAAGTGTTGATTGTTTCCGCTATAGTGAGTGATAAAGTATCACCAACATTCATCTAGTCTTTTGCTTCTTAGGAAGAAATATCATTGTAATTTTCTTCCACATACACATATTTGCGAACCATATATAATGCGAATTTGGGCAACATCTTCATGCTCTATTTTCTTGATGAGAATATGTTAAGTTCTAAGAAAATTTGTTTGCTCTTTCCCCGATATAACATATCGAAGCTATCAGCAACCAACCGTCATAGACTTGGTCTGATTAGCACAGCGTGGAATTACAACCAGTTAAGTAGACAGCTATTTGATGTATAGCTACTCGAACAACAAAATCAAATACATTATCGGAATTGCCGAAATTCAAACTACCGAATGGTTACTAGAAGTCTAAAGAAAAGCTTTGCTCAGTGAGAAATGTTTGAATATAGCGCAAGTTTACTTTTGCTGTTACAGCGTTGTAAAACAGCCATTTTTGAAACAAAGTACATTTTCAAATTCTTTGGGTTTTATGACACCTAATATCTATCAAACCAGGAAAACGACTGAATAATACGTTTTCTCCGAGGGCTGGAACTAAGGGTGTAAAACAAAATTGTCTCCTATAATGAACGCAATTTATATTGGAACTATGGCAACTTTTCTTGCTCAGTCATTGTTTTGATCTCACATCATTACGTTCTTAACTTCTTTCATGGAGTTTGTTCAGGTAGAGCAAGCGTATATGTGAACGCTTCACCGGTACCAAAAAGAAGAGAAAAGAATCTCGCTTCTGATGGCGTGATAAAGGTCTCAAGAAGTAAGAGATAGTTTTTCTTCTAAATTTTTCTGATTCCTTAGTGCTCGTTTTCGTGACCAAACATTCATGGATACACGCTTTGAAACCCTTTAACTTATTCAGTACCAAAACGCTTCCATGAGAGCTCAGTCCATTAATTTATGAATTCTTTTCGAAACATACACTGATTGTATTAGCTTAGAGTTGAATTCTATCAAAACCAAGAAGAATTTCTGAGTTTATATTACTGAGAATAAGCGTCGTGGTCACAGCACTTTGAAAAATTTTTAATCTTTGTTGCGTGGTCCTTCACGTCAAGACAGCAACATCTCACTCTACCACATCATTATCACCGCCTGAATCAAGTAATTTGGTGCCAGAATCCAGTGGTTCGCTTTTCTGCTGGTAATATAATTTCTTACTTAAAAATATTTGTAGTCTTATTTTTAGGATTATGTCGCTCAACACACTACCTCCGAAAATTTGCGAACTGAAGGCGCTGCTACGAATCGGCAAGTACAACTGTAATTCTTTAGATAATCGTTTTAATTTGTTTGCTAATTGTTTGTAAACAAGAGTTTACTTATTGGAGTAGCTTGATTAGGCCAAGGTTTTTTTTGATGAGATGAAGAATTAGACTGAAGTTGTCACCAAACTAAGAACAACATAGCACGGTTTGTTCGTCTCCGTAAACGTATAATTGAATTTGAAAGTATTGCATTCTTTTTAGGACAACACAACACCTTTAGTACCGTGCCGCGCGACGTCAAATTTCACTCAGCTACTGTAACGGCAATGTCGCTTCCTGTGAGAAGGCAGACGCGGACAGCATGACATCCTTTCACAGACACGCAGAGCTGTCTAATAGCTTATGCGAGGAACTCTGGGACAATGGATGCTGGAAGATGAAACCATGTTTTGGAGAGAACATTGCCATCATAAAACGATGACATAATCTTAGTAAAAAGAACGTGTATATGCTCCATATACGTCTACGTTTCCTATGTACCAATGAGAAAACTACACCGCTATTCCAGCTGGTCTATGACATCTGTTTCTCCTGAACTACTCGATGCTCTTGTAATCATTTTATCGCTTAAGGAATACTAACCTTCATTCTAAAGAACGTTTTGCTTCAAAGTGCGTTGTTCTCATTTCACAACAAGTTTATTGGTATATTATTTAGTTGAATACCGATTATGAGGGTATTTCGTCCCTCCGCAAAGATAAAATGTCTGTGAATAAACTTTCATAACAGTGGTTCTGGCAAAGATAATGCCTATTTACCTATTTTTATAAGAGGAGCACATGTGGAGCAGTGATTAGGAGGTGCTTCGCGGCGCACACAAAATCGATGGTTCGGTCTCGCGCTCAAGATTCGCCAAGCCATCCATCTTACCGAGGTGTAAATTGGTATTATACTCGTCTGGGGAAATAGCAACACTGACTTACATACATCGGTATGTCACCTCAAGTGATTGTGAAGGCCAGACATTGGCCATTTATCAGGGAGGAGTGAGGAGATGTACTAATGGGTCTTCCAAAGCCACCTACACGTCGTCTCATTGAAGTATTCGTAAAGAGTCAGAACTGCGCGAGGTACAGGAAATCATGCGGAGAGAATAGTGGACTTAGAGGATTAAGTAAAGAAATGACAAAGACTGCAACAATGGATAATGTTCATAGTTGAAATCGATCATAAAATTCTCGAGGGTAGGCGTTGAAGTGGCATTGAAGTTGCAATCTGCACAGTGGGAACTGACAAACAAGCCTTGTTTTGCAATTGTTTTTGCATAACCTTGTCATTTGCTTTGAGTTGCAGCCTGTGGCTTCCTAGAAATTGGCTGTCCATACCTCAGGCGTACTCTCCTCTGCCTTTTTTCTCACTCTCAGTTTTCTTACGGTCTCAGTCAGCTACTGCAACAACGGCGTCTCGTATCGCGGGAATGAAGGCGATCTGGAACGCAGACGTAGGAAGCATGGCATCCCTGCCCAGAACACAGATGCCACATATTAAGAGTGTCGCACAAGCGACGGCAAGACGCTGCCTGCCTGTCAACGTTAATTCTCAATGAGGTACACTAAGCATACGTCTAAGAATGTTTAGTGGTAAGCAAAATATTTGACATCCGCGAGAATTCAATGTGTGTTTCACCAAAACCCATAGCTGCCATTGTTAATGTCCAAGGAAGAGTAGTAGCAGAGCGGTGGCGTCGGTGGTGTAACGGTAGCACGCACCTCCGGTATGGGTGAAACGCGGATTCAACTCCAGCTTGATGTCGAATTTTTGCATACCACTCAACATTCTTAGATAGAAAATTATAGCACTGCTAAAAAGGAATAAATTGTATAACACTGCATGTCGGCTGACGTTGTCACCTTGCGCATGCAGTGTAACATGTTCGACGTCGATTCCTTCACATGTAGTGGATAAGTGTCTTTTAGGGGATTGTCTGCAACAAAAGTTACTGTGTCGAAACGCACGTCTGCCACTATATCCCTTTGAGGACCAAGCGGCACCTTCCGTGCCACGCCGCGCTACGTCAACTTTCACCCAGCTACTGTAATGGAGCGTCGCGTCTCGTGAGAACGCAGGTGCTTCTCGTGAGAAGGCAGATGCAGACAGCATGACATCTCTGCACAGACACGCAGAGCTATCTGCCAGCTCATCTGAAGAGTTCTGGGACGATGGATGCGAGGAGGCCAACCCAATTTCTGAGGGAAAATTGTTATCTGTAAATGATGTAATTTCATTGAAAGGCTTCTGCAGAGATAGTTTCAGTAAAAAGAACATCTATATGTTCCATATTACGTCCATATTTCATATGTTTCAACAAGAAAACTGCATCGCTATGGAAAGAAACATATTTCCGAATTTATGGAAAGCAGTTGCTGCTGTGAAAGTTCAGCGGTTTGTTGTTTTCTGCCACGCGGGCGACTTTTCATCAAGCTCAAACTTGGGTATTTATACCTTTAATTGAAGAAAAGTGGTATTAATGCAACGAAAAGTAATAAAGCGATTATAAACGGTGTAATCACATGGACGCAGTAAGAAGCGCGACACGATGAAAAAGAAACTATTTGAAATAAGATTAAAAGTATGGTCGCATTTGCATGATTATGAGAGTAGCAATGACTTAGCCTACTCGATTAGTACCCACGACCAGCAGTACGGACGAACCTCAGTGCATAGATTTTCAATACTTCCTACATCCAACCACAGTCGTGGAGAGCAATGAGTCAACAAGAGCAATCGATCACCTAGAAGATTTGGTGATCACCATCAACAGATCGCCCGTAGACAAGTGTGTTCGGATAAAGCTCGGTTAGTATCCTAATGAACGAAGAACTGAATAAAGTGAAACTAGTACGATAAAAAATCCGCTCCTCAGAATACTATATAATACACGAAGAACTGATTGAAGATAAGTGGCATAAGGAGCGATCTAAGGAGCGAAAAAATTCTATTCCACTTTTTTGGCTTGCGTGCAAATCTCGTGAAAAAGGCCTAGCCCATCATGGTGGAACGTCACTAATTTTCTTGTGCATATTCCGTAATAATAACATACCACGCTAGGATCTCCGCTCAATGTGAAGGTTTGCAATTAGAAAAACTTTTGGTAGTTATATGTTCGACGGCGATAAATGCATAATCGACCTCATTCTCTGGACAATAATTTTATAGAAGTGTTAGTAATCATTCGAAACCTCGAATCTCTTGCAAGAGCCGTACATGGCCGATTTTTCGAGATACCCTTTTCTAATATTGCCAAATCCAAAATAAAATTATGTGAGCCCCCCCCCCCCCACGCGTATAATTCGCTGGAATCACAGAAAGCATATATGTAGAGAAGGTTTCGTAGTAACCAAGTCATTAATTTGATATGGAGTTCCTTTCAAAGCGGAGAAGAAATTCTCACTTGAAAACAAGTTGAATCCTACACATCGAACCCGTATCGATCAGTCGCCTTGGCCGATAAACTAGTTCACCGAAAACCCCTTTGCGGGCGATAAGGGTCAATTCAACTTTCAGTTGGGCGCGCCGTTCGGACGGTTACGAAGAGTGATACAATTAATTGAGTTATCAGAGGAATATTAAGATTAGAAAACGATAAAATATCACTGATGAAACTCCTGAATTAATAATTTTAGTAACATTAACACTAATGCTTCCTAAAATCTTGCCTTTTTTGAAGGAATAAACTACATTCTTGCGAAAAAGGAGTATAATTCCAACTGTTATTGAGCGTTTTCTCCTACCTTCTTGAAGTTTTCACAGTCAATCGATTGCTTGAAAAATCCTGTTCCTAATACTGAGCTTGTTGTTTGCAAATAATTCCACACTGCATTTTAACATTAGATAAAGATTCCATTTTACAATCGCGATGTAAATTTTGTTATTAATAGCGGATTTTTTGATACGATATAGTTAGATTTCGTTCCTTATAAACTTTTTTGTTAAAAAAACTTAAATTATCGTTGAAAAAATTCTGTAAACATATTTGTAAGAAGAATAATGCCCAACTGTCTAGATAATCCTCACTTTTGAAAACAATTTGTGTCACATGCGCTCGCATTCTATGAATTGCATTCGTGAGCACTTGGTTTTCTCTAGAAAAGACATATTACACTAGATTTATAATATTTCTTTGATAGTTGAAATTAAGTGTATTTTGTTTCTTAAAGCCTTGTTCTTTTTGGGGTTGAAATAGTCGAAATAAAATTTTGTTACACATTTTAGGATTTCTAGTCGGATAAAGTTTTCTCTATAAATTTTTCTATGAACAACTATTAACCATCTGAGCCTTTCAAAGCTCTCTTATATACGGCTTCCAGCTAGGATGTAACAGGCCATTGATTCTCAGCGTGATCCAATATTGATGGATTTTGATGTCGGCACGCCGTCGAAGTCGATTTTTGTATTTTGAGTTTCCGGTGTGAGTTTGACAAAGGAGCTCAAGTTTTGCTTTGATAAATGTTTACATTTACAATACTGTAACATTTGTCACAAGAGTCTAATCAAGTGGGTGATTTCGGCTAACGGTCTATACGATTACAACTGACATAGTAGTGTATATGAAGCCACAAATCGCGATTTCTATGATTAGTTATCTATCTGTGATTATATAACGTTTTTGAGGCTGTTTTTGAAGCTGTTTGTTAGTCGATTAATCGACAAGAATCTCGAAAAAATGGCTGAAAACATTCTCAAAGAGTATTTTCTACGAGGTCTTAACTGCATAACTGATACATTGTAACGTTTAATGAATGTTTAAATTCTTCACCAAAGAATTGACTGACGCGTTACTATTAGATTGTATAAAAAATACATGCCGTTTGATCTTTCACTATAATTTGCAATAAAATTGAATCATTTCGTTCAAATGAGCATTTTCTTGCAAACATTTTGGTATACAACTTGCTTGCAAAGATCGTACTAATAAGCAAAGCGACATGAACTTTTTACAGATAGTAATTACTAGGAACGACTATAGATAAAACTCGCTATTCATTCAATATCTCAGTGCTTTCTCTGACGAGCAAAAGCAACGTGTTTTTAGTAGTAGAATTTGTGATACCACCCATTGCAATAATGATATTGGCTAACGTTTCGGCCGTATTGCCTTTTTCAAGGTCTGGTTCTGCTGTCTTTTGAGTCTTCCACTTATTCATTGTCGACAAGGAATGTAATTTCTGCCCTATGCAAGACTTTGTGCGGCTATCATCTCCAATGATGATCCCCAATAATTAATTTGAAGACTTAAAAGCAATAAAATCAGGCTTTGAAGAAGGCGACAGCGCCGAGACGTCGGCCAGCGTTATTCAATGAGCTGAACTGAATTAAGTAAATCCTACTATCAACAAAACATGACTTCTGCTCATCAAGAAAAATACTGAATTATTTATCCATGCGAGAATTAATCATAATCGGTCTTAGTAACAGACTCAGAAGTCAATTCTTTTATAAAGAAGTTAGACGTTCATAAAACTTTACCATTCATCAGATATGCAGTAAGACCCTTAGAGAATGTAATAGGTTGGGGAAAAAGTTCTGAGAAAATGCTTGTAAATTTTTGGGGTGTCGGCAATTTAATGTGTTTTTGGGCTCAGTTTGAAAGCCCTCTTCTCTCGCGTTGGTGTATATTTTATCTACTTATTTCAAAATGGAGTTAAGCAAGCGAGCAAATTAGGTTGTTAATGATGCACGAATGGCTGTTGGGTTCAAATGGCTACGGTGGCAAGTGAACGCATCAATCTGGCTTGTGGGACGACACAGTGGTAAAGTACGGTGTATAGTGTTCCAGAACGTTTTAACGACGGTTAAGAACGTTCTGGAACAATCAGCCGCGTTACACTGGTCGTCCACACAAGCTGATCGATGCGTTCACTTGCCACCGTTGCCATTTGAACCCAACAGCCATTCGTGCATCATCAACAACCTAATTTGCTCGCTTGCTTAACTCCATCTTGAAATAAGTAGATAAATATATACACCAACGCGACGAGAAGACGGGCTTTCAAACTGAGCCCAAAAACACATTAAATTGCCGACACCCCAAAAATTTACAAGCATTTTCTCAGAACTTTTTCCCCAACCTATTACATTCTCTAAGGGTCTTACTGCATATCTGATGAATGGTAAAGTTTTATGAACGTCTAACTTCTTTATAAAGAATTGACTTCTGAGTCTGTTACTAAGACCGATTATGATTAATTCTCGCATGGATAAATAATTCAGTATTTTTCTTGATGAGCAGAAGTCATGTTTTGTTGATAGTAGGATTTACTTAATTCAGTTCAGCTCATTGAATAACGCTGGCCGACGTCTCGGCGCTGTCGCCTTCTTCAAAGCCTGATTTTATTGCTTTTAAGTCTTCAAATTAATTATTGGGGATCATCATTGGAGATGATAGCCGCACAAAGTCTTGCATAGGGCAGAAATTACATTCCTTGTCGACAATGAATAAGTGGAAGACTCAAAAGACAGCAGAACCAGACCTTGAAAAAGGCAATACGGCCGAAACGTTAGCCAATATCATTATTGCAATGGGTGGTATCACAAATTCTACTACTAAAAACACGTTGCTTTTGCTCGTCAGAGAAAGCACTGAGATATTGAATGAATAGCGAGTTTTATCTATAGTCGTTCCTAGTAATTACTATCTGTAAAAAGTTCATGTCGCTTTGCTTATTAGTACGATCTTTGCAAGCAAGTTGTATACCAAAATGTTTGCAAGAAAATGCTCATTTGAACGAAATGATTCAATTTTATTGCAAATT